GGCGGCTCCAGCCTGTGCATGCTGTCGCGTTGAGTGGTGAGCGCGGTCGGGCGGGGGGAGGCGGGTGAGCCTCGTCTTCCTCATTCGTTTACCGTTACACCTCTGTTTCTAGCAGCATTACGTAAATGTAATATTTATTATATTAAAAATAAAAAATTTTAGTGTCGTAAAGAAGTACATCGACGGCAAAAAGTGGTCGTTTCCAATGCTCTTTTGGATGCACCTTTGATTCGAGGTACAAATTTTGAATTTAAAAAAACAAAAACAAAAACAAACACAACTAATTGATAATTTTAGCATGCCAAAGTGAAATGCGTGAACATCAATGTGTTACTAATCCTCAAGATTCTGATAAGCAATTATCACTTATTAATTTACTTCTTTGTCTTGAAGATAGAATTAAAAAAGGTAAACATTGAATAATATTTCATTTTTTCAAAATTATTAATTTCTATCTTACAAAAAAACATAGGTAATCAGATTAAAGATGAATGTCGACGTGAAATGCTTGCTCATCGTCGTATGTTAATGTCGGATTATGCTGTTTCACCTGAAATTACGTCAAAATGTAAAAATGAAATGATTCAACATTGTCATACATTATATCGACAAGGTGCTAGTGGTACAATTGATCAACGTGGTGGTCGAATGATTCATTGTTTATTCAATGCAGCACGTCGAGAAAGCAATTTTAGTCGTGAATGTTTATTTAACATTAAATCATTAGTACGTGCTGTTGATCCAGGTAGTGATATACGAGCTGATCCATTACTTGAAACAGCTTGTCGATCTGTTATTGACACATTATGTGCTAAAATAAAACCTGGTGATTCAAATATAATTATGTGTTTATTGGATAATATAAAAAATACTCGTATGACAGAAGATTGTGAAGATCGTCTTATGGAAGTTGCGTATTTTATGGCACGGGATTGGAGGTAATGTAAAAATAAAAGATAAACGAGTTTAATTAATATTTATTTTGCTTTTTTTGTTTTCTATGACATAATTAGATTAACACCAAAATTAATACGTACATGTCAAAAAAATCTCATTGATTTATGCAAATTACCAGAAAGTTGGTCAATGAATAATAACATGACTGACGTTCAATTAGGACAATATTTAGGTTGTTTGTATCAAAAAAAACAACAAGTAAAATAATAAATAGAAACAACAGATTTTAATATTGAATATTATTACTTTTAATTTAGTTAAGTGATAATTGTCGTATTGAACTTAAAAGAATTATGAGTATTCGAACGAAAGCAATTGGTTTGATGCCTGAAGTTGAAGATAATTGTATGGCAGATTTAGCATTATGCAAAAATCCGGAAATTAAAGGAGAAGTAAGAGAATTACAAATGACTTAAATAAACTTTTCTTTGTAATGTCATTGAGTCGAAAGGAAAACGTTTCTACTGCCAGTTTAATAATTTTCGAAAAGAAAAATATATATATTTCCCCTTGTTACACATTTGTTTGCATTACTACGGCTATATCAGTAATTCATTGCCACTCGAAGAAAACCTATTAATATATCACTGTAAAATGACGGTCAGAATATAGCCGACTGTTTAAGACTTTTCTCTCTAACAAGGATAAATGCATAGAACAATAACCCGATGTCTCATCTTTTATAAACGACATAACTTATTATTTGACACCAGGAGCGTAAATAGGGCGAAGCGCATCGAGCGTAACGCCCGACGACTACTTTTGAAACTTTCCTGTGCAGCGTCTGTCTTTTTGTTTTGTGCTTACCAATGTTGCACTCACCTCCTACATTTGATACTAAGCTACGCCTTTGTTTGACACTTCGATTATTTTTTCAAAAATTTTTGATGATTTTTGTCGTTACTTGCTTGAAAAATATGCTATTTTTAGAAAAAAAACAGGAAATCTTTTTGATTTGTTTCTGTTTATGCTGTTTTTCATCGTACATATCAGAAATATTGAAAGAACTTCATTCCCCGATGGAAAAAAAGCTGATGCGAAAAGCGATTCTGAATCGACTAGAATCATACATCTTTAAAGAATTATTATTCAACTATAATAAAAAAAAATAACAAACTTTCATCGATTATTCTGATTAATTTTGGTTAAACTCGATTTCATAATAAGAAAAAGATCGCTTGTAATCACACAAAATTGGCTATAAATGATTTTTTCACTCAATTTTAAATCAGTTTTAATAAAAAAAAAAAAAAAGCTGTTGGCACAATCCCTGAAGGATTAAAATATGAAACACGATGTAGCTATTGTTGCTAGTCCAAGAAAGACTGTTTTATACTGTCGATCTTGAGACATATTTCTTCAATCTTCGGTTACGATTATGAATCAATTGTTTTTTGTTATTTTTATACAGCTTGCTTAGATGTATGGGTTGCAGCGAATTGCATTTTTTTTGTTTGAAAGAGCATGTCAATATGCAAGACATGACAGTCCTGTTTTGAATTAAGCTTTATTACTATTATATGAAATAATACTTCAGTAATTAAACCGTCATTTTTTAGACGTTGTTTTTTTCTGTCTCATAAAAAGTAAGAATTTAAGAAAGAAAATAGGTCTGTCATGTCCAGCATTCTAACATGATCATTCTAACACAAAAGAAATTAAGTATATAAAATAAAGACTCACAAAGATCTCAGATTGTCAAATGAGCAATTTGTAACCCTTTTCTGTTGAATGTCTCCCGAAAACGTGATAATGTAGTACTCAAAATCTTAACATAGTGTCTCAACTATAGTCTCAACAAGCTCTATAAATTTCATGCGATTTGAATGTACCTAGCTCAAGATCGATTTACAAAGAGGAGCTTAAATATTAAACCATCTTCGGTTAACTGGCAATATAACACACATTATCTCGAACAGTCCATCAATGATTTCTGTCCGATTATAATCACAATGATTCTTTCCAATGAAAATAGGATATTGGAAAATATCTTTTTTATTTCATATCTATATAAAACACTAAATTTAAGGATCATTTTCCTTTGTTCAATTAATTTAGAATAGATGGTTGTATTATTTTTGATACTGAAAAATTTTGTTGATTATAGAATTCTTAGTTATAATTGTATTTAATAATATATATATATATTTTTTTTTTTAGGAATTAAAATGTTTACAAAAGAAATATAAAAAACTTGAAAGTGAATGTAAGACAGCTATTCAAAAATATACAAAAATGACAATATCTGATCCAAGTCTTGATTTTCTTCTTATGAAAACATGTGAACCAATGATACGAATATTTTGTTCGGTAAAATCAAAAATAAAATGTTTCTTGTTTTCTATAATCATAATTTTCATATTATACATTAGAATGTTGAAAATGACAATGAAAACGATTTACTTCGTTGTTTAGTTAAAAATAAAAATAATCAAAAAATGGATTTTCGTTGTAAAACTAACATTGAACACCAGCAAATAGTAAGCAAGAAAAATTAAACATAAACTTAATTTAGAAAAACATTACACTAAATTATTCATCATTTCTAGATAAGTTTAAAAGATGCTGCATTTTTAAGCGAACAATTTCAAAAAAATTGTAATGAAGAAATAACTAGTCATTGTTCAACAAAAAAGACAAAGTATTTTATTTTTTGTTAAAATATTACCTTGTGTTTCTGTACATAAGTTTTTAATTTAGAGCATCAGTTATTCAATGTCTTGCTAATCTTGTTCTAATAGATGTTACCAAGAAAACAAAGCGAATAAATGAAAATTGTCGTAATGAACTAAAAATTGAACTTCTTCAGCGTGTTTGTTGAACGATTTTTTTCTAATCCTATTTAATTTCAATTCTTTTGTTTTAGAGTGAAAATATTAATCTTGATCCATTATTAGCTGCAGCATGTCGAAATGACATACGTAAATTTTGTTCATCTAAACTTGCAGGCAATGCTCAGGTGATTTTCTTAATAAATATCTAATAGAATAATATATATGCATACAAAGTTTTTTTTTTAATATACAGATTACTGATTGTCTAAAAACTTATCACAAGAAAGTGTCAGCAGCATGTTATGCTAGATTAAGAAAACGTCAAAAACTTGATGTTGTTCTACCTGGAACTGATTATAGTTTAACAACAAAATGTGCTCCACTTATTCAAGTATGTTAATATAATGTAAATAGATAAAAAAAAAAATTTTTTCCACATAATTCATTTAGAAATATTGTGCAAATGAAAAGAAACAAAATATTTTATTATGTTTACGACGTAATATCAATCAAGATAATACACCAAGTATATGTCGAAATGTTTTATATCGTCGTTTAATGATTCTAAATAGCGGTAAGATTAAAATCAACTATATTTCTTCTTGAAAGATATGATCACAAAGTACTCATTCACAAAAATGTCCACTTGATTTGTCAATGCTCTATAATACTCTATTAAATATGTTGTACTTTTCATTTCAAAAGTAGCAACAAAAAATAATCATTTATAGTTAGAAATCTGCTGAGAGATTAATAATGAATTTTTATCTTTTTGATCATGGCTCTCAATTAGTGGGCAGGGGAAGGGTGCTCCACCCTAATAAAATGTGGTGAATTTCTGCTAATTTTTTTGCAGCTTCACGTTAACTTTGGGTAGAAACCGGATTTTGAAACACCATTTACCTGTTGTTTTTTGACTGAAAATAAAATAAAACTAAGCAGACAATGTCATTGTGAAGTGAATAGGAGAGGGACCGTCTGGTAGCAGATCGTCCATTGTGGTAGGGGCTAAGCTATGCCGCCTCCTTTACTTTTTTTTCAAGAATTTCTTACCCTATTCATTCTTGAAAAATATCAACAACCCTGTTTTTGACATAGAACACACTTTTGAAACCAATGGCAGATTTAGAGCGGACGGAGCTGGGGAAGAAGGCGAGGCTCCCCTCTTTGGAAATATTTTTCGATTTTTCTCAGCAAGCAACGTCCAAAAATGAGCAAGCACGATAACTAATAAACTTTCAAAGACGCTTTATGATTACAAACACTCCCCATTCCCAAAATTCTCGATTCGCCACTGATTGAAGCATGCTGTGTATATCACTTTTAACTTCAAATTTTAATATAGCTTTTATCTCAAAATCTTATATAGATAATATTGAATGTATGTCCAAAGTTAATCGAATATTTTTTTCCAATCCTAAGTAGTAATATTTATATACATATTATAGACAAATATAGACTTTCAAGGTTTATTATCAAATTAAAGTCTGTATACTATTAAAGGTATGTTCTTGATTAAAAATGACTGACAGATTTATGATTCTTGAGTATATTAAAATTGTACTCAAACCAAATTATAAAGTTCTGAATTATAAAACACTTGAAAAATATAGCTTCTTCACTGAATTCTGCTTCATTGTTGAAGATCCTAAATAGACTTTATGTGATAATTTTGAAGACAATATGAAATAGTGAATGATAGAAATTTTTTATTTCTTATATATCTATCTAAAGGCTATGATTTCTATATTATTTAAAGTTTTCTTTTTTTTTTATTAAATTCTTTACACTTTCTGAATAGGTCAGTACGATCTAGATTTGTTCTTATGGTTCTTCAAGGTTATATATAAATGATGTTCTTTGTCATAAAATATATGTCATCACGAAAGAATGAACACGAAAAAGAATCTATTAGACGATGAAATAATTGCATTTCAGTTTATTGTGATAATAAAAAAAAAAAACTTAATTTTCACGAGAGAACCATTATAATACAGGTTCTCGAGAAAAAAACTTTTGTCTAGTATATATTTAATCTAGAAGCTAACATATAAACGAATGAAATAAACACATACTGATAGAAGAAAAAAAAAATACGAAGAAAAACATGATTCTCTAGAGGCAATATTCTCCAATCTAATTAACTAAGCGAGCAAAACAAGTCTCTTCTTTATTTTCATCTTAAGATCTAAGTAAGTTAAACAATCAAAATAAAGATCCTTTTTCATCATTACATATAACATATTATATGAATTTATTAAAAAAATAATTTCATATTTAGATGCTCGTTTCAATAAAGGTTTAATTGAAAATTGTCAAAATGATATTGATCGACACTGTCAAAATGAAATCATCGATGATGATGATAATGATGATGATGAATCCGATGATGATGATGATAATAATAATGCCAATGATAATAATAATAATAATAATGATGATAAAAGTAAAAGATTTTTTATTATTAGAATTGTTTTTGCTTTTTTATCTAATCTTTGCATTTAGATGATAAAGATACTGATGATATACAAGATCGTGATATGGGTGGCCGAATAATAGGATGTTTACGTTCAAAATATGCTAATACACAAGTTGAACTAGAACCGAAATGTATCACAGAATTAATTGATGTCATTCAAACATCAAAACTTGATATTGAAATTGATATTAAACTTTATCAAAAATGTAAAATTATAATTAATACAAATTGTACAGGTGTTGATAAAGAAGATTGTCTAAAATTATTATATCAAAAACATCTTCTTCAGGATAGTGGTTGTAGAGAAGAAGTTAGACGTATTATAAAAGAAGGACAAGCTGATATACATGTTGACTCTGCATTATCATCTGCATGCCAATTTGATATTATTAAATATTGTAATGATGTCCCAATAGGTAACAAAATTTTAGCTAATAAATTTTTTATCTAATATTTATCTATGCTTAGGAAGTGGTAAACAATTACAATGTTTAATAAAAAAGAGTAAATCAGTCACGAAGGCTTGTCAAAGCATTTTATCAAAACGCCAAGAATTATGGAGAAGTGTAAGTTAATTAATACAAATTATTTGTTTATTAAAAACCAAAATATTTAAAATTTTAGATCTCTCATGTAGATGATATTGATGATTTAGCAAGACAAATTGTCAATTCGGATAATAAAGTATATTTTTATGCAGTTATTATTGCAGTATTATTTGTAATATTTATAATCGGTTGTCTTTGTCGTCCATGCTTTCGTTATCGTCGTATGAAAAACTATAAAAGAACTAATTAAATATGCAATAACAAAAAAAAACAAATCTTCAACAATTTTAGAACATTATCTTTGTTTTGTTTTCGTTTTATTTCCAATCTTTTAACGAATCTCTTCCATTTTCGGTTTACACTTATTCATACTGATCAATAATGTTATCTCTAGGTTTTCTTCTTTTACTGTGATAATATTCTGTGTTTTTTTTTTTATTGTGCTATTTTCTCAGTAAAATTTTATGCATTCCGCTTTATACTAACAACAACAAATAAATAAATTGTGTTTCTTTTTTTGAAGAAATAAAAAAAAGAAAACAAATAGAATCTTAGAAAAAAAAAAAGAAGGAATCGAAGAGGAAGACTAGATAGTATAGATACAAGAAAGAAAGAAAAAGAAATTGCCTGGCGTTTGTTCTTTTCTATCTAATTACAATAAACTTTGCATTTCTTTTTGATTATCTTCAATTAAATCGTCTTCATTATCGACATCATCTAATCGATTATGACTGATTGTACTTATTTGTGTAACTGGCATTGATGAACTTGTTTGCCATTCTAAAAAATAAATAATTAATAATCAATTCAAAAGAATATATATTTTATTTTCTTACCACCATAATTATCATCGGTTTGTTCATCATCAGATTCTCCATCATGATCACTTTCACCGTATGTAATAACACTACAGTCGCATTGGTCTTCACCTTCAAAACAACCACATGAATCTATTGAAGTATCAGCACAATATAATATTTCATCTTGACTTTGAGGTCCTATTAAAAAATTGTTTTAATCATTGTTTTTTATTATTAAATAAAACTTACTTTCTTCATCCATAAGCATATAGTGGTCACCACTACGTCCTCTTGAATGTTGAAAACAATGTTGGTGTTCTGAATCACTTGTTGCAACAGGTGTAAGTGTTTGTCGAATACCAATAGGAACATCTTGACTTCGAATGATGTCACATACTAGATATATACATAATATAAAATTAATTTAAAAAAGAAATAAAGTTTTCTTTTTTTTTTTTTTTTTGCTTTCAACTGATCCTACCAACAGTATCACAGAGGCCAATACGTTCTAATTGACGATAAACAAGTAAATGACTATTATTTAACGCAAACCATTGATTATTATGTGCACATATTTGTAATTTAGGTGGACAATCACTTTCCATTAATTTTGTTGATATATCAATCATTAATTTTTCATCAATAACTGAATGTTTTAAATCACCTAAACTTGAACTTGTAAAATTAATATTTGATGGTGCTAATGTTAATGTTCGGGAATGACAAGAATTAGTTGATGATTTCCAAAATGGTTTCCAAGAAGAAAAATAACTTTTAACGTTCTGCATTAAAGAGATAATATCGATATCAGATGTTCAATGTAGAAAAAATAATAATAAAATGATCTAAAGCAGTAATATAATCATAAGATAATCTTCAGTTAAAGAGAAAGACGAAAAAAAAATAAGTAACATAGCAAGGTTCTAATCAAGATTGTGTAATAATCTTATGTATTCAATCTGAATTGCAAATGGTGTTACTGTTCTATTACGAATGTCAGTCATCAGTGCGACTATGCTATCAAATTGGCTGTGAAATTGTTTGTTCGATTGGGATAGTATTGAATATCTAGTTTACTATAGACATTGATGGAATGAGAAAAGAAAATCATAACTATTGATTATGTTTCTATTTTCTCCAATCAATGATTTTGCTTTTACTAATCACTAAACTATTCTTAATCGTCTTTCCTATTAAGCATATATAGAAAAAATAACATGAAAACTTACCGAATATAGACTGTTGTCTATCAAAAATGCTAGCTATATAGTTGATGATCAAATAACTTGTATTGATAATTTTTGCTTGTCTGACGAATGCGGGTCATGTAAATAGGAGAGTCTCTTTTTCTCTCGTTCTCATCTAATTGTCGTCGTTGGTACCATCTCTACGACTATAGAGAGTCTGCAATACGCAAGAGAAAGCGTCGATGACGACAATTCACTAGAGGGAAAAAAAGACCGAAGCGAAAGAAAGACGACAAGTTCCTATCATTTCTTTATTTTTATATATATATTTCTCTCTCACTCAGTCTCTTTGTGTCATCTTTCATTCGTTCTTTAGTAATATTATAAATTCAATATAAATATTTGGAAGAGACAGAGTGAAGATGTGATCATGATGTATTGAAAATTAGAATATTCTAAATTAAAAAACAAAAACTTTTTAATGTAATATTTTCATATGCAAGATTAGATCCATTTGTCTTTTTCTTTTTATCATGATATATCTATTTATAATAATATCAAAATTCTTAATGATAAATATAAGATGATAGTAATTGATATTTATCGTATATTTATAGATTAATAAATTAAGAATAATTGATGATATATTAAGACAATAAACTGTTTTTTTGTTTTATTACCTTCTGACAAATACATTGCAGTAGCAAATTTTTCTTTTCCTTCTTCTATTACAATACCTCGTCATTTCTTTGCTTATAACCAGATGAGTTCTATCTAACGAATGTGATTAATCAATGCAAATATATTCTACTCGAGTGAGCGTCATCGTTACGGCCAAGGATTCTTCACTAATAATGCTGCTGGCAACTGATGGAATGTTGACTTTTGTGGCGCTATTTTTTTTTTTGTTGGGAACGAATGCACATGCAATCGGATATATACATACATACATACATTCTATATAAATTTATTCTAGTTGTTTTGATGATGGGTCTAGGCTATTGACAAAACGTATACATAAACCGATCTCTTATTGCACACTTATTCAAAAGAAGAAGAAAAAAAGGGAAGAGTGTAGTGAGACAACTGATGATGCCGTTTCCTTAATAGATTTTTCCGATTTTCGTCGTTCGTATTTGATCAATGCTAGAGAATATACGGACGCATGCATTTCTGATGTCAGATACGCTATGCAACCTCATAATCAAATTTATTCTCGCTTCGCAAAGCTCATCTGCATTTTTTTTTCTCTATCTGTAATTCGTCAAGCTAGAAGAAAAAAATATAGATATTATTAATTGGACTCGTGTAGTATGACAAACATTTGACAAAGATTAAAAAATTCGTAGAATTTATCTGGATATATATATATATATAAATATTTCTTCTTTGAAAAACAAAACAGCGAATACGTAATAATAATCTCATCATAGCCACTTGATTCATCAATTGACATCGATAGGAAATCAACAAGCGTGTCAGATGGTCTTGTCTATCGACATGTCGAAGCTTGTCACTGTTGACCGATTGTCCTTTTTCCTTTTTTTTTTCTCGGACACAAGAGTATCGATAATCTAATTCTAACATACTCGTTTCTATGCTTTTTCTCTATGGACAAGCACGTACATGTAATATGACATCGAAGATAACGAGAAAAAAATTATGTGTGACTACATCAATGGATGAAACTGTCATACATTATTATACCAAAGACATAAGTTCATAGATTAGAAAAAAGAAAATGTTGAATTGTGCAATAAAGCAAAAAAACGGAAATCGATTTTGATAGTCGGAAAAAAACAATTATTTCTTCTTTTTATTATTAAATTTTTCGTTTTGTGAATAAAATTGTTCTAACTAAAATAATCAACTGGTCTGATATGAATAAATAAAATAAGTTAGTTCTTTTATCGTATACTATAATCTGATTTTCTGTAGTCTAGTTAAATTAATTATTATTAAATTCTTTCCTATGATAATTCTATTTGTGGAATTGAATCTTTGGTGTATTCATCGAAATCTAGGTGTTGTAAGTAAAACTTTGAGCATATATCTATATTTTGGTTGTTTCAATAAAAAATAAAAATTAACTTTTATAAAAATTCAAGTGTTTTCTTGAAGCCGAAATGTATTTCAATGAAAATAATTGACTATGTATGACATAAAAAATTTTTATTAAAATCTTTTGTTTTTAGCACAAAATATCAATATTCCTAACTTTAATAATGAAATAAAACGTTCTTGTCTTTTAAAATAGCTGTTTCTGGTTCGGTTTTAGAATCCGGAAGTTCGTTATTCTTACAAACAAAAAAAAAGGTGGCAAGATTTTAGAAAAAAGTTGAAAGTTATGATAATTTTATAGAATTTTATCGAATAAAATTTTTTCATGAGTTCATAATGAATCCAATAAAAACCAATGAACAAAAGGAAGTTTTCGAGAGAAAAATTTCAGAAAAATTTTTGTTTTTCTTCATGCATATCTTATGTTGTTTCAATTCCAGTCTAATTGTCTCAATTCTCATTAACAACTTGACGTTTCAATAAACAACAAGATTATACTATTGATTTAAAATACAGAATTAATTAAAATGTTTTATTTTTCATTTAAATATAATATTTGAAATGAAATAATATTAAAAAAATAAGACTAAAAAAGAAACAATCAATATGAATTTAACATTGAAAACTGATAATAAGTCTACTAGTTTCTAACAGTAATTGTATTTAGAAAAAAAGGCAAACATATAAATTTCTCTGTTATACAGGATAAAAGTTTGTTTGCATCGAACGATTTAATAATGTCATCAAAGTGAAGAAGAAAATATCAATAGAAAAAAAAAAAGCAAAAAATATTTTTAATTCCAATAAAATTTGTTGTTTATTGAAAATAGTGAACGAAAATAGTACGTTGAATATAGATTATAGAGTTTCATAACAAATATAATTGAACGTGCCTTTTTTAATATTATCAGCCATTTATTTGAAAACAAAAGAATTACAAATGCTATTTTGATCAATTGTGATGCTGATATATGTTGGTTTTGAATTACGTGACATTGTATTAATTAGTCGCTTTGTTACACCAATTTTATTTATTTTTTCTAGTCCATAAATAAAAATTGATTACACCTATTGCAACAAAACTCAATTAGTAGTAGTAGAAGACACACCTGTATTGAAATAGGAAAGAGTCGTATGTTTCCGCATGATTGCATTTTCCATAGTCAATAGCAAACCCGAAGGTCTTATGATACTGATAAAAAATGTCCTTATACATATTTTAAAAAAAGCATTATGATAACATTTTATAGTTGTAAAGAATGGATAAAAAAAAATATTCAAAGATCAACTAATTTTTATATAGTTAGAATTGGTATGTATAAAAATAAAAGGGAATGTTTTTCTTTTGATTCCATGAAATAAAAATTCATTGAGAATGATTTTAAATTTAGATTTATTTTAACATAAATACTATTTCAATCAAAAAAAAAAATTGAAAATACTTCAGAGATTGTCATATCATTAATATTTAAACTAGATGACAAATCTTTGCATATTGTTAATCATAAAAAAGCTGTTAATAACTTCCAAATATTTCATTTCTTGTACTATAAATCATTCTTCGAAAATATTTGTCTTGTATTTATTATTAACGTGATCATAATGAATTTGCGTTTACAGGAATAGCAAGTTAGTATTTTATTATATATTTCTATAAGAAAAGACAATTTCTAGTTTTTTTTTTTTCTTGAAATGAGAGAACCGATGAAATGAATGATTCTAACGTATTGAAAATCTATTGATACTTAACTTTTATTTCTATATATTATAAAAATATTGATATATTTTCATTAGTTTAGATTATTTTTACATACGTTCTTTATCAATAATAAACTTCTGAGATAAGAATATGATTAATGATTGTCATAAGTGTTCTCTTCCGATTCGTATTAAATCTTCACGTTTCTTTTCAATACAATAAACTATTTAGGATATATCACAATAGAAGTATTGTTACTATTATAATTCGGTCAATAAAAATATGAACGATATAAAAATAGACAATAGAATAACTGAAAAACACAAATGACTAGAGATTTTATAACACGATGTTTTAAAATACAAAGTTAAATATTTATTTCCGACATAAGATCAAGTTTTATAGTCTTTGATACTTGAGATAAAGAACAACTAGATATTATAGACAAGCTGTTCTTTAAATTTTATGTTATTGATTTAAAAGCACGATTTTTGTCGTTTTTTACACAAGTGTGTGATGATTTTTCTTGATATTATTTTTTTTTTCTTTTTTATATATTTTAATATTAGATCATATGCACATGCTGTTTGTTATTAAACCTATATAAGTTAATCATTGTTCTGATTTTTTGTTTTTACTGTTAATTAAAAACAAGACCTCAGCGATGAAGTTCAAGCCACGTTTTGGTATATCGTTAAGATTTATTGGCCGCATTTTGTTTCTATTCATCACTACTGCATTAGTTTTATTGATGTTTATATTGTGTATTCAAAGTTTAGTAAATTATTTCCACGATTCACCTACATTCATCGAGTTAAGTGTTATACGATATAATTCTTCTAATCAAACATCAAACAATCAAAGATCAAGTGATAATAAACAAAATAAAACTATAAAACGAGAATTACCCTTTATTTATAAACCTTCACCAGAATCAAGTATATTACGAGTTCTTCTTGTTTTTTATCCAACTGATCAAGAACAAGCATTTCAACCTGAATTTCGATGGTTATATCGTTCATGGATTGAAATGATGACATTTGAATCACCATTATGGAGAACTGATTTAATTGTTTATGCTAATCAATATGTATCACTTTTTAAAGATCTTGATTGTGTATATGATCAAATACGTATAGATTCAAAAGAAAACCCTAAATGTCGTGTTTTTCCTTATGTTCGTATTAAGGATCGTCAATCAAAACATGAACCTTCCAGTAAATATCAAATTATTGATAAAAAAAATTCACAATCACTTTATGAACATTTACGAACTTATGGATATATAGATTCAATTAATACAGTTTTTGAATATTATTTATCATTTTCTATGTATAATTTTATTCTTCGTACAGATATGGATTGTTTTTTAACAAATAATTTTGCTCATTATGTTCCATATGATAATTTATTACTTGTGGGTCATGGTGGTTATTCTACAGAATTTAATAATAAACGATTAAAACGTATTGCTCATAATATGAATTGGACATATGCAGATAAGAATAGTCTTGGATCAACTTGGTAAGAAACTCTGTAAAGAAAATTCAATTTATTATTTAAAAGTCATTAATATTAATGTATTAAAAAAAATTGATTGAGTCACTGGTATATGTATAGATATTTAAATATGATTTAGGATTAAGACCATTCCTTGTTTTCAACACATAAACACCAGTAAACGATGGCTCAGAAGTCGTGACTCATATTCATATAGTTTCTTTATAAGGAAATCAGTTAAAAAGAAAGTTATTAGTCTAGATATATATCTACTACATTGAAAAGCAAATAAATCAACAATATTTTATTTATTTAAAATGAAATAATGAACTATTTATGAGTCAAGCAATCGATTTATATTGCAAAAATCACGTTTCAATTGTTTTATGATTAATTGAATATCTACCATTGTAATTGGATATAGCTGGTGTCATGTATTAATTCTATCGTTGAAAGAAAAAGAAGCCTATCTTGGAAATAATTAACATTGATGCTGAATGACATTCATATGGAAATTCTTTTCTTTTACATTGAGAATCATTAAGACGGAAAATTAGTGAAATATCGATTAAAATGTGATACAATAGGAGTTGTCAGAACGGAATGATTTACAAAAAGAATCAAAACATTAATATATTAAAAAAAAACTATTAGCAAAATCTTTGCAGAATTAAAATGTAAAACACAATGTAATTGTTGTTGCTAATTATTCGTAGACTGTTTTATTCTATTTATTTTGGAACAAATTTCTTTACCATTCATTCTTTTACTTAATCCTCCAGAAATGTAATATCGATGTACTTAATAGATTATAACGAGACATTATTGCTATACGGTTTGTTATTGTATATCAATAACGTCAGTTACTGTCAGTGATGATATTTGACAAGCGTCTGTCATAGTTTGTGGGGGAAGAACAGGTCCTAAGGACCTCGTTAAAAATAATTAATTCTTCTCTGCTCTGGAAACATTATAGAATCAAAGTACTTGAGTGATAGATAACTAAATTAGTTATTCTTATCTTAACTAAACTTAGTTGTCTGCTTTTTCTTCACAAGAGTTCAGTAACTTCTGAGGTTGCAAATATTTTTTATTCACCAAATAGACGAGTTTTTAATAAAATGATATCAAGGTAGTTATATATTACTAAGATACTTTCATTTTATAATGTTTATAGAGTCGAAAAAATTGATGATTTTCGATTAGGCTCTTTAAGATTGTGTCTCACAAAAAGTCAAAGTAAAATAAAAAAAAAAAAAAAAAAGATGGTTTTTCAATTGCAACATTTATTATTCACATAGAATTTTTTCTTTTCTAAGACAAAATTGATACGTAACACAAGTTATATCGAGTTACACTTGTAGATATTCAATTAATTATAACAAAATTCGAAATGAGTCTATTATTTCATTTTGAATAATTAAAATATAGATGGTTTATTTGTATTTAAATGTAATAAAAATTTCTCGACTAATAACGTTCGTATTAAATGAACGAGAAAAATCAATTAGTAGTCATTTTGAACGGCATATTTTGTCCGTACTTTTTTCTCTATAAAGACAGTTCTATGACAGTATTTATCAATATGAAAACATTTATTATATGAAACGAGTCACGGCTTTTTCTGCACTAAACATTCTTTTCAATCGATCTTCAGTTATTCAAATCTGTGATAAACTCTACAAACCGTACGATAATGAAATATTAGTATATTAGAAAATTTTTAACATTTACTGATTCATTGAAAGTTAATCGGTATCTCACTGAAAATTAGAAAAAAAAAAGACTATCGAATATATTTTTATTATTTCAATTGAAAAAAAAAACCACAATTAAATTAAATATTATAATATTGATCGAATATCTATTAGGTATGGACCACCATCTATGGCTAATCGTTTAGCTAATTATACATTGCAAGCTATGTTATATCTCAATATTAACGAATTTACTACACCAGAAAGACAACAACAACTTGGTGTGATGGTTAGTTAATTTTTTTCTTATTAGCTTATTTGTTTTCATTTTTCTTTTTGTGTTAATCATGTTTAGCTATGGCCTGAATGGCATTACGGTGTTCTTCTATTATATGGGGGTCATTTAGCTATTAATCATCTTATTGCTAGTGAAAATTTTGAAATAGGTCTTGCTAATCAATTATTAGATCAAGGTGTAACATCAAAAGATAAAACAGATATTAATAATAATCTTCGTTTACATCTTCATTGTTGGCATGGAAGTGAACCATTTTCGAAATTTGCTTTCAAAGACGGAAAATACAATGATACACAACTATCTAGTCTAGCTTCGGATACATCAGCATCTGGTTATGTAAGTATGCAATCAATTTAATATTAAAGATATTTTAGTTTTCTTCTTTTCATTTTAGGCAATGCGAATGGCATTAGAATCTAAATTAATGACAAATGAACAACTGAAACAAAAACTTCTTGATATTAAAAAATAACATTTTTCTTTGTTTGTTTTAGTTTTTATTTTGTTGAAAAATTAATTTTACAGCATTTGATTTATGTTATAATAAATTAACTATTAAAAAAAAAATTCCTATAATCTATTTACAAGAACATGATGCCTTTTTAACATTGGATAATTTTTTTTATTAATTTTATTGATGTTTTTCTTCGATGATAATTTTCATCCGTTGATTAATCTAATTGATGACATTTGTAAAGATTGTTTTTGATAATATTTTTCTACAGATTTATTCATAAAATAAAATATTTTATCAATAATTATTTCTAATGTTTCTTGAACATTAATACCAGTAACAGCACTTATTTCAATATAAGTTATACCTAATTCATTACCTAATTGTTCTGCATGAGTTGAATCAATTTTTCGATGTGTAACTAAATACCAACAAGTAATATTGGTGGTCGAAGATTATTATCAATTAAAGTATAATTATCAAAAGATGTAAACCAATTATGCGAATCGATAAAAATGATGATTCATTTGTTATATGAAATAAAAGTAAAAATCCCATACTATCACGATATAATGATGCTGTCAAACTACGATAACGTTCCTATTGAACGATAAACTCAAACTTGACCAGCTGTATCCCATAATTACAAAATAATACGTTGATTATCTTTGAGCGTAACATATTTGTCAAAAAAATCAATGCCTAAAGTTGAACGAAAATTTGCAAATGTTTCGTAAATATTCTGATGAACAAATGTCGTTTTTCCAACATTTGAATCTTCAATACATAATAATTTAAAAAGATAATCATAAGATTCATTTGTTAAAACCTCCATTATTAATGCATATCAAAAATATATAAAGTGAAGAATAAAAGTTGCAGAAAATATAAGAAAGAAAACAAAAATCTAGAGATATCGATCTATTTTTCGTCTCAAGAGGTCATTAGTTATCGAACGACTATAATTGCTGTTATTTCATTGGTTTAGTGATTTTAGTATTCATATGATCTATATTCAAAGTAATATATATACAACTGATATCTTTTACAATTGCAATTCTTATCATGAGTTTAATATTTTCGTACAACCGTCAAAAATGATTTCAAATAATACATTAAATGCAGATAAAACAATAGAAAAAGCTACATTTGAAGGAAATCCGTATGTATTTAAAATTTCCAAACAAGAAAAACAAATTCTAATAATGAAAAATTTTTTTTGTTTTCTAAATCTAGATTTAAATGTCGAGTCGCTTTTACTCGTGGACAAAGTTAGTTAATAATTTTATTAATTCAAATACTTTTATTGTCTTCGAATATTTTTTTAGATCCTAGTACACCGACAATTGTCAGTCCAAAAGCAAATCTGGTTAAAGGTGATCTATTTGTAATTAATTTAAATGATGATGGTACAGAACAACTTGTTATGGAAGTTGATAGTGTTGATAATGAACGTCCAATTCAGACTTTATATCCTGGTATAAAATAAATATTAATTAATCATTTTAATATTGAAAATTTATTTCGTATAGAAATTTTCATTGATGAATTAATTAGAAGAACATTTACAAGCATAACGTTCGTCACGAATCATTATATGGTTCAAAAAGTTGCAGCAAAAGAAGTTATTATTTTAAATTTTTTTTTTTTAAATACAAAAAAAAATTTTTTTTTCCTTTAGCACTTCGCTCTTTATTTAGTTGAAATGCAAGTTAAAGAACAATATTTTAGTCGTGGTGATATGTGGCGTTTTACACGTAAATTAGTCAATACAACAGTTTATTTAAAGAAAACACTTGATATATTCGGCATGCGGTAAGAAATTTTATTTTTAAGTTAAGGGGGGACTTACTCCCCCTCGATTTTTAGTTTTTTTCGCCATTTTGTAGAGGCTGTAAAGTCGCATATACCCTGAAATGTTTATGAGACCCTCGCTCATTTTGACCGAGTTATGGCTTACACAAGTTCTGAGGCTTTTGGCGTCCTTTACCAGTTTAAAAATTTGAAAATTTTTCAAATACAATATTTTGATCCAATTTTTATATATCTTGATAGAGTAACAAAAGTTGTATATTATCCTGAAATTTTCGCTATTATATAAAGAGTATTCCCGGAGAAACAATGCTTTTCCTAAAAGGCACATTTTCACGTGTCCGCTAGTATTTTTCAAAAATCTTGCCCGATTTTTAAGAACTATAGTGCATTAGAATAAAAATCTGTTCTAACCAAAAGATGCACCATCAAGTTCTGGGTGTACTAAGCGGAACAGAATTTTAATTTTCGAAAAAAATTGTATAAAAAAACAACCATTTTTAATAGTACTTCAAAATGAACTCGTATTTGACAATTTTCACCGTTATAGTTTTATTTAAAAGCAAAAAGCATGTCATATTCAGAATCAGCATTTCGAACCGAGTCGAATAACATGTGTTTTAACGAAAAAAAATTTTGTCGAAATTTCACCTGTACCTTCCCTCAGCTCCTGTTTTAGAAATCTCTGCCGTACTCCTCCGGAGGTGAAATTTCGACAAAATATTTTTTTTTTCGTTAAAACACATGCTATTCGACTCGGTTTGAAATGTTGATTTTGAATATCACATGCTTTTTACTTTTAAATAAAACTATAACGGTGAAAATTGTCAAATACGAGTTCATTTTGAAGCATTTTGAAGTACTATTAAAAATGGTGGTTTTTTTTTATATAATTTTTTTCGAAAATTAAAATTCTGTTCCGCTTAGTACACTCAGAATTTGATGATGCATCTTTTGATTAGAACAGATTTTTATTCTAATGCACTATGGTTTTTAAAAACCAGGCAAGTTTTTCGAAAAAAAGCATTGTTTCTCCAGGAATACTCTTTATATAATAGCGAAAATTTCAGCATAATATACAACTTTTGTTACTCTATCAAAATACATAAAAGTCGGATCAAAATATTGTATTCGAAAAATTTTCAAATCTGTATACTGGTAAAGGACGCCAAAAGCCTCAGAACTTGTGTAAGCCATAACTTGGTCAAAAGAAGCGAGGGCCTCATAAAAATCGAGGGGGGGAGGTAAGTCCCCCTTAAAGGAAACTTAATATTCAAACAAAAATTATTAATTAGGACTACTGTCTATGGTTTATGGGTACCTGACTCACCTTATCGTGTATCTTCTGGTTATATAACAAAAGATACAAAAGTAAATGAATAAAATTGTTTTGTTCTTATAATTTTTATTGATATTTTTTTTTTCAAAGATTGTATTTCGTTCATTAAGTGCTTCTTGTACTATATTTTTACAAATGTCAAAAGAAATGTGGGATTTTGATCATCGTGGTGATACATATTATGAAAAAGCTGTTGATGGATTTTTTCATGATTTATTCACTCGATGGAAGGTATAAAAAAATGTGTTAATAAGAAAAAGAATTATTCTTATATATATATATATATATATTGTTTTTAGCAAATGCTTTGTCAACATGATGTTACAATGACATTATTTAGTCGAGTTTTTTATTCTGCAAAATCTTTGGATGATTTTCCTCAAAGTTTACAACAAGATATTAATATAGATCATCGAGGAAGATTTTATGAAGATTTCTATCGGTAATAATTTAATAGGAATATTTAGTAATATGTTATCGAAAATATTTCTTTAAGATTTTGGATTTGAGAGTTATAAGTCAATCTTTTTTTGGCATAAAGTTCAAGGCGAAATTGTTCTCTAAAAAATGATAGAAGAATTTAAAATTTTAGAAATACCCGAACTCACTTTGCAAGTTTGTTTTCTATTGAAATTAATGCGGCACGTCTTACTAAATCCTCCCTGATGACAAATGACTTGGAGCAAACAAATTATTAATATACTATTTTATAGACAAATATTTGCTCTTTCATTCGTGGTATTTTTGAAATAATTTTTACTTGTACTTGCTGGAAGTTTTTGGTGCACTGAAATTCATCCAAACTCAATTTACTCTTAAATGAGAAATCATATTCAGAAAGAATATAAAATTCTGATACTAATCAAATGTTTTCAAATTTTTACAGGCTTCTTTAAAATCTTTTTTTTTTTGTGCTGTATCCAACGTAACACATTTTTTTATCTCAATTGTTCAACTAAAATCTCATGTTATTGCTAGATTTCGCCGAATAATGATTAGCTTTACATAATGTATTTTACATTCATAGACCGAAAACTTTCTACTCTTATCATTTAGTTTATATAGCTATACTAGTTTCTGCTAATTAGTTTTTTTTTTTTTTTAAATGAAATCCCAAGTTTATGCATCCTATGTGATTCGAACTGGAATAAAACCGTTTGATATAATTTGTGGTATAACAGTAGTAGTGTGAGTAAACATGCGATATAGAATGTCTTCATTAAAAATTGTCTCTTTTAAAGAATATATAATGCTGCAGAGAATATTGTGATATTGTTAAAATTTTGGCGATGGTATTATTAAAGATCTGTCGCTGTCGGAATTCTTTTTTTTTGCGCATCACAGTTTGACATTTGATTAGCCCTCTGGTGATAGTGCGTTCTTTTTTGAAATGATACAAACATTCTATTTTTTCTTCCATCATAGCTTGAAACGAGGCATGCACATCAAGAAAAACACAACGGACTTCGTGAAGAATCATCGAATTTCATAAGATTCAGTAATGGTACAATCAAGTAACCTGGTGCAGAATCTTATGAAGTTTTGCGGATAGTTACACGGAAAACTTTGAAATCTTATATCATCATACAGATTTTATAAAATCTAATATCTAATGATCTGTAACTTCAGAACTTTAGTAACAGTCATAGCCTCATCGAACACCATTGGCTTGAGGATTCTGTGCAATTGTACGAAAATCTGCTTGGTTTCATATTGTTCTAAATGACTTTGAGTTTAATGATTCCACAAAATTCTCGAGTACTTAAAAAATCCAAAATACCTTGTTTTTTCTTGATTTACATGCCTAATGAATCGTAAAAGCTAGAATTTGCACAAAAACTCGAAACATATATATATATATATACGTTTCCTTTCATCAAAGGGTTAAATGTAAATAGTATAAATCGGTTTTATTTTACTCATCAATTAGATGAAAAAAAAAATTAAATTTTTGATTATTTTAGTGTAATTTATCAAAATGAACGTTATGATGATTGGTTACCACGTTTAGGTAAAATGAAACAAGTGATTATTAATTATAAAGAAGATCTTGTAAATTATCATAAAAAACATTTAACAAAAGCTGAAGCTGACAAAATGCCTAATGGAACAATATCATGTGCATCTGATGGAAATTTTCTTGAAACATTAAATCTATCATCAAGTGGTTTGTAGAAGAAAAAAAAGAAAAAGAAATATTCTAAAATAAAATAAAAATTTTATTGTTTTCTTTTCTTATTTAAGTATTTGAACGTCATTATATTGATCGTGCATTTGATTGTCTTGGTCAAATGTCATTAGTTATAACACCCGGTGCTGGTGTATTTGAAGTTGATCGTGAATTAACAAATATGACTAAACAACGTGTATTAGATAATGGTATTGGTAGTGATCTTGTATGTTTAGG